CAGGGGCTCCGTGGGGGTCCGTGAGACCCGTGCGGCCCGCAGGTCTGACTTCGGCCCCCGCGCTGCCGCAGCGTCTTTGCACTTCTGCTTTCTGTTTTTCCCGCTGGTCTTAAGCTTTTTTGAAGCAGCTTCTGTTACGCTTCACCAATTATTTTTCGCTACGCAGCAACAATAGCAATAACCATAACTGAAAAATGGGAGCTCTTATTGATTGCCAAGGCAGAGTGGTAAAATATGCTATTTAAAAAAGTTTTAAAAAGTACTTTTCCCTTCCAGCCCTGGCCGGCGGCTCCCTTGGCTGGAGGCCGCCCGGTGCACCCACGCGGGACGGTTGGGTTCCCCCGGGGCAGGTGCCCAGGCTGCGCTTCCATCCCAGGTAGGGCTGCGAAGGAGGCAACCCCTTGACGTTTATCTCTCACATGGATGTTTCCGCATAGTTATTACAATATTATTGACTGTATTTCCTGTGCTGCACGTTACTGTGGCTTTTTATAACTTCGAATTCCTACTTCTTAATCCCGTCATCTTTTTTATTCACCCCTCCTCAACCCCCTTTCATTTGGTGACCGTCAATTTGTACTCTATGAGTTTGTTTCTGTTTTGTTCACTTATAAAATATGCTATGTTTGATTGGATTTCAGTTTTCTTACCTGTAAAGTGGAGATAATATACATACTACAAAGTAACTCTGAGGTACATAAATGGAGTGGAAGCTGAATATTTTTCAAGATTTAAAAGCACCATGTTAGCTGCCTTCTGACTGCCAGTGATCCCACTCCTAGGAATGTATCCTAAGAATCTTGAAACACTAATTAGAAAGAACTTATGCACCGCTATGTTCATAGCAGCACAGTTTACAATAGCTAAGATCTGCTGACGGCCCAAGTGCCCATCAGTAGATGAGCAGATAAAAAAGCTGTGGGACATTCACAGCATGGAATACTAGGCAGCTGTAAAGAAGAATCTCGTGCCCTTTGGGACAGTATGGAAGGACCTGGAGAATATTATGCTGAGTGAAATAAGCCAGGCAGAGAGACAAACATCACGTGGTCTCGCTTATATGTGGAATCCAAAGAACTTAATAAACTGATGAACACAATAGATTCAATGACGTGGAAGCATAGATGAGACTGACGAATGTCAGAGGGAGGGAGGAGGGTGGGTGGAGGGAGAGAGAGTAACCAAAGAATTTATGTGCATATATACACAACCCAAGGACATGGACAATGGTGGGGAGGGGGAGGGGATGGGGTGGAATGGTCATTGGGGAGAAAAAGGGACATCTGTAATATTTAAAAAATCTCATGTCAAAAATAAATAAATAAATAAATAAATGCACCATGCAAATGAAAAGATAATTGTAAAAATGAGAGAAAATATTTGTAAATCATATACGGTGGGGGAATTCATTCCAAGACTCCCAGTGGATAGTACCAAACCCAATATATACTATGTTTTTCCCCTTATACATACATAATATCATTTAATTTATAAATTAAGTATAGTAAGAGATTAACAATAACTAATAATAAAATAGAACAAATATAGTAATAGACTGTAATTAAAGTTATGTGAATGTGGTGTCTCTCAAAATAACTTGTACCATACTTTTTCACTTAAAGGAAGCACTGTATGGCTGCTCTTTGGCACATCTGAATTGCCAGCATCACTACTCTTGTGCTTTGGGGACATTATTAAGTAAAATAGGGTTACTTGAACACTGGTAGTGATACCAACAGTCTATTTGATAACTGAGATGACTGCTAAATGACTAATGGGCGGGGCACTTATGCAGCATGGATACTCTGGACAAAGGGAGGATTCGAATCTGGGCGGGATGGAGCAGGACGTTGGGAGATTTCATCATGCTACTCAGAACAATGTGCAGTTTAAAGCGTATGAATTGTTTGTTTTTGGAAGTTTGCATTTAACGTGTTTGGACTGCTGTTGACCGTGGGTAACTGAAACTGCAGAAAGCAAAACCACAGATAAGAGAGACTACTGTATCTGATAAAGGATTAATATCCAGAATATATAACGAACTTCTACAATTCAACGAAAAACCAAACATAAAAAATGGAACATAAGTGTTTGCAAGGAAGTGGAGAAACAGGAACTCTTGTGCATTGATGATGGGTGTGTAAAATAGTGTAGCACTTTGGAAAAACTTTGATGGTTTCTTAAAAATTCAAACATAGAATTATCATGTGATGTAGTAATTCCACCTCTGAGTATATACCCAAAAGAATTTAAAGCAGGGACTCAGACAGGTACTTGTACACCAGCATTCATAGTAACATTATTCATAATAGCCAGAAGGTGGAAACAAGCCCAAATGTCCATTGGCAGATGAGTGGATAAATAAAATGTGGTCTATGCACACAACTGAAATTCTGATACATGCTACAACATAGATGAGCCTTGGAAACATTATGCTAAGTGACCCATACCAGACAAAAAAAGAACAAATATTGTACGATTCCACTTACATGTGGTACCTAGAAAAGACAAATCATAATGACAGAAAGGTAGGACGGGTTTCCAGGGGCTGGGGGAAGGGGGAAATGAGAGCTACTGTTTAATGAATATGGAGTTTAGGATAATGAAAAGCCCTGGAAATGGGCGCACAATATTCTGAATGTGTTTAATGCCACTAAATAGTATACTTAAAAATGGGTAAAATGATAAAATATATGTTATGTATATTTTAACACACACGTGCTGTCAATCTTGGACTACCTATCTTGTTTCAGCATTGCTCTAGTTCCTAAAGATACATTAGTGAAAACACACAATTCTTTTTCTTTATGGAGTTTACAATCTGGTAAGAGTGGAGCGATAGCATAGCATTTAAAATAGTCACGGGGATGTAAAGTACAGCATAGGGAATATAGTCAATAATATTGTAATAATTATGTATGGTGCCAGGTGGATACCATGGGGAGATCACTTTGTAAAGTATGTATTTGTCTAACTAGTGTGCTGTACACCTGAAAGTAATATAAAATAATATGGAGTGTTAACAGTAATTGAAAAATAAAATAAAATAAATGAGCACAAGATGGATCATTCAAAAAGTACTTCTGGAATAACTGGGAAGCTATGTGCTTTAAAAGTTAGCCAGTGTGTTAGACCTTTACGCTGAAATTAATTAAAGATGGATCAAAGATTTAAGTGCATAATACAGAACCATAAAAATGCTAGAGGAATTCATGGGAGAATTTCTTTTTGGCTTTTAAAGTAGTAGATCTTTAATATTTCATTCTCATTTCTCAGTTTTGGTCTTTTAAAGTATTCTACTTTTTAAAAAAATAATTTTTAAGTTTTTAATTTACAGTTGATGTACAACATTATATTAGTTTCAGGTGTACAACTGTGTGGTGAGACATTTATATAACTTACAAAGTGATCACTCTGATAAATCTAGTACCCATCTAGTACCACACCACACATAGTTATTACAATATTATTGACTACATTCCCTGTGCTGAACTTTACATCCCCATGACTATTCTGTAACAACCAATTTGTACTTCTTAATCCCTTCATTTTTTTCACACATTCCTCCCCTCCCTCCCACCTGGCAACCATCAAAATGTTCTATATATCTATGAGTCTGTTTTTCGTCTGCTTGTTTATTTTGTTTTTAGATTCTACATATAAGTGAAATCATCTGGCATTTGCCTTCCTCTGTCTGACTTATTTCACTCAGATCAATACCCTCTAGGTCCATCCATGTTGTTGCAGATGCAAGATTTCATTCTTTTTAATGGCTGAGTCATATTCCACTGTATATACGCACCACTTCTTTTTTTTTTTTTATATATTTTTTTAATTGATTTCAGAGAGAGGAAAGGAAAGACAGACAGAAACATCAATGATGAGACAGAATCATTGATTGTCTGCCTCCCCCTCTACCAGGGATTGAGCCCG